GAACGAACGAACGAACGAACGAACGAACGAACGAATGAACCAACAAGAACAACTACAAAAACATGATATAACGTCCTAGATGAACCAGGATGCAAGACAATAAACAATATCAGCAAACGTTTGGATCCAAGTTTTTCGTCCATTTAAAATCTACTCCTCTTGCCCAGAGTGATGTTCTCTTGTCAAAATTCTTTTGACTGTAGCTGTTACTGCTTGACGAATGTCTTGCATGCGCCACAAGTACAGCAGAGGGTTCACTGTGGAGTTCATTGCTACGATCAGTTCGCTTATCAGTAATGCCTGGTATGGTGCCAATGAATGAAGATCTTTTTCGCGACTATATGTAACAAACGAGCAAAAATGTGGTAGGTATAATAACAAAGTCGTCACCATGACAAGTAACATGGTATTCAAAGATCTTCTGTATTGTGAGACATCAAAATTTGAGCTTTCATGGCTTGGCTGCTGATTGGCCGATGATACAGAGGACGTGAGCTTCTTCAGTGAGTAGAACGACATTGAATAACAAACCGTTATGGTTGTGAGAACAACAAACATTACACATGGGAAAATAGTAAGTATTGCATAAGAAAGAATATTTGATAGTAATAAAGTCAACAGCAGGAGAAATACTACGACCCAATAAGGGATAGTCACCATCCAAATACGTCGAGATGTCACAAACGATCGATATCTGTTTTTCAGTCTAATGGCCAACAATCGATCAACACTAATAAGAGTCAAACAGTACAGAGATACAGAACCCAACCAGTATCCGAAAAGATGAGCAACCGCAGCTATATAACAGTATTTTGTGCTCCACTCCTTATTGTAAGCATAGTTGGCGAGGATCGTTGAAGTTTCTGCAAACGCTCCAAAGATAAGATCCGATAATGCAAGATTAGCAAGAAGAAGATACGAAGGTTTGCGTAGAGATGTATTCTTCCAGATAGAATACAGTATTAAAGAGTTCAGAGATACGGCAGTTAGTGATGTAACTGCATATAACGTGGATAGAACTATCCGAAACGATGGCAAGTCCAGGACGCTGTTGTATCTAAAAGAATAACAAGTGTTATTCATCTTTTATATCTGTGCTTACCTAACGCGAAGCCAGCGTTTTAAACTTTAAATTGAAAACACTTGCGATAATAATTTGAGTGAGTCTTTTTGTCATATTCTAAATCTTTATCATTATTATTTTTATTGCCGTTTTATTATCAATTCAACTGCCTCCACTTTTTTCAGTCATGTCTACCATCCGCCAATCAGAGTAAACTATCCTTAATTCTTATCGTTTATTATCAAATGACACGTAGCTAAATTGTTTTTCGAATGAGAACTTTCTTAATAGCTGAATCTAATTTCCAAAAATGATAAAGTGTTACTTTATGAGATGTTGAGCTCTGCAGCGAGAAACATGCAATAGCACTCTTAAATAATTAGTTCTATAAATAAACATGTTTATTTTACATTTTTGCATGTAATTAGGATACATTATTATCCTTTTCACCATTCATGGCTCCCTTTGTTCCTCTAAAAAATTTAAGGGACCCCCATTTTCTCCTTCTTAATTTTTTAACAATATTTTTTAAAGCGTTTAAAGAGGTTGGTGGTTGTGCGGCAGGCGATTTCAACCATTTTTGTTCATATAACAGGCTTATAAAAACTTGTTATACGGGAATTTTGCTACTCAAAAATGTTCAAAAACAAGTTAAACAGATTAATATGGTATTGCATATTAGAGAATTGTCGTTTTTTAGAAGATATTTTATTTTTCAACAATATTTTTAAAAGCGTTTCAAGAGTTTAGTGATAGTGCTACAGGCGATTTCAATCATTTTTGTTCATATACCGGGCTTACAAAAACCTGTTATACGGGAAAAATCTTATCTAAAAATGTTCAAAAACAAGTTAAACGTATTAATATGGGATTGGATATTAGAGATTTGTCGTTTTTTAATTTTAATTTTTATTTTTTAACAACCTTTTTTAAAGCGTTTCAAGAGGTTGGTGATTGTGCGGCAGGCGATTTCAACCATTTTTGTTCATATACCGGGCTTACAAAAATCTGTTATACGGGAATTTTCCTACACATAAATGTTCAGAAACAAGTTAAACAGATTAATGTGCGATTGGATATTAGAGATTTGTCGTTTTTTTAAAGATTTTTTATTTTTTAACAATATTTTTAAAGCGTTTCAAGAGGTTGGTGATTTTACGGCAGCCGATTTCAATCATTTTTGTTCTTATACCGGGCTTACAAAAACCTGTTACACGGGAAAAATCGTATCTAGGAATAATCAAAAACAAGTTCACATATTAATATGGGATTGGATATTATAGATTTTACGTTTTTTAAAGAGATTTGTAATTTTCTAACAATTTAACGTGTTAATATGATCAACTTCGCATTACATATAGGTACACTAAAATACTAGGCATATAAAATCTCTAAAAAAAAACTACAAAAAGAGTATATAAAATATTTAATAACTAAGGTCCAGTTTAGACGTCGAATCCCGCACGCGCCGAATCCAATGCAGACAAACCAAACATTAGTTTGCCCATCTGCACTAGACCCGGCACGCGCGAAATTCCACGTCCAAACCGTGCCCAAAACGTTAAAACAAATGGGAAACTAATTTGTAAATATTAAGTAAAAGGAAATCTAATTAAAAGCTAGTCTAAAAAGGTGGGTCCAGTTCACATATATATCTTAGGGCAAGCCCATAAATTGCTTTAAAAGTAAATAAGAAAACTTTAAAATCTATCCTAAATTTAACCGGTAACCAATGCAAAAAGTTTAAAACTGGTGTAATATGAGAGTATCTAGGTATACTATATATAAGCCTAGCTGCTGAATTTTGGACTTTTTGTAATTTCGCAATGTTCATTGCTGGAAGTCCATGTAGAATACCATTACAATAATCTATGCGCCCTATAATTAATGCATGAACAAGTGTTTGTGTCACTTCACTACTCAAATATTTCCTTATGCGCCTAACATTTGTAAGACGAAAGTAAGCTGCTTTGCAAGCTTTATTTATATGCTCCTGAAGACTTAAGTTGCGGTCAAACCAAGTTCCAAGATTCTTTACTGAGCTCACAGATTGCACACGAGCCTCTCCAACCTTGAGGTAATCTACGTGAACCTTAGCCAGCTGCTGGCGTGTACCAATTATGGTAAACTCGGTCTTACTATCATTGACCTTGAGTTTATCATTTAGCATCCACGTTCTGATTTCCCGCACACAGAGCTCCATAGCAGCGACGGCTTCATCAATATTCAAGGCACTGTCAGGCTTGAACGCAAGATATAATTACGTGTCGTCTGCAAGGCGTGCACACTAGGCAGATGTCTCTTGACCACCTCGAACAATTTACTAGCATATAAAGTAAACAGCTCTATTGCTGGTTTTCATGTCGGCCATGTTGGAGGAATTTAACAAAAGAATTGTCAATGAATTCTTTTGTTATATCCTCCAACATGGCCGCCGTGTCTTTTGTTATCTAATTCTCTTGGGAATGGTTGAAAACCATCAATTGCTATCGCAGCTAACAGTTATATACAGTTCTGTTTTGAATATACTTTGAAAGCACATGATATAAAGATATATATACATTAACTTGCTCGCGTGCTGGTTGGTTCATTTGTTATCAGAAATAAAAGGACAGACAGATAAGCTGACGTCAACGAGCGTGCGCTCTTTGTTTCGATTGCTTTGATCACTAAAAAAAATTGCTATCGTTTTTGTTATCGTAAAAAAATTAACGTATGTCAATTTGCTAAATATACATCAGGGAAATTCGTTTAATCCTCGGTTGGCGTGGATGTTGGTCCAGACTTGCAACTCCATGTCATGCTGATCATCCTATTAAAATCATAGAAATTTAAAAAATGTTAAGATTGCAATTGAATGTTGGTAGCAGGCTCGATGGATACTTTTTCATTGTTATTTTAATTTGTGAATGCTAATCGATCTCGTCTATGCTCGAATGGGATTTTTCTGTTCTTAATTTCCTTTCTCTTCTAGTAATTTCTGTTTTTGTACTTATTAATTATTATTATTTCAAATCTCCCCACCTTCCCCAATTTAACGTATACTTTTGTCATGTTTGGCTCGCCATAAATGGTGACAAAACAGAATGTTAAAAAAAGCATATTTATGAATTTTTGAGCAATGCTTTGCTATTCAAATTGTTAAAAGTGCTATCCTCCCTTTCTTCCTCTCATTTAGCGGATTCTTTTTCAGATTGTTCTATACTTTTGTCATGTTTGGCTCGCCATAAATGGTGACAAAACAGAATATTGCAACAGTAGCTGTTCAAATTGTTAAAAGTACTATCCTTGTTTTCTTCCTCTCATTATTTCATGTGCATGGTAGATTTTTACGAGTCATACCATTTGGGGCGTCCGAATAGTAATCGTCTCCTTCCATACATCTCCCTTTTGTCATTTACATGCATGGATGTTTTAACTTCCTTTTTTTTTTTTTTGTCTTGACAACAGTTCAACATGCAGTTCTACAAATGCATACTTTTGCATGTAATTTTCAACTCGTGGATACGCGAAGGGTGGAAATGATGCAAATGTGTCACTCACTCGCTCACTAAGATATTAGCAGATTGATAATCAATCGCCTTACGTCATCTGCTCACGAAAATTACGCGAAACTTAAGCTCGGACCCCATTTTATCTCAAATGGATTCCATAAAGTTACCTGGAAATCTGGACTGACTCTGTTCCTACTTCCTGTCATCATTTGTGATGCTCTTGGCAAAGTATTTATCTTATCCACAGTGGTATTGTTTGCCTTCCGCTTTCGTTTTATTCTTATAATAATAACTGTAGAAATGGCTGCTAACAAACATATGCCGATGGAACAGCCAGCGATGAGAAGGACACTTTCCAGCCGAAGACTGTCATTTCCTGAATGTATAATGTTTGGTTCTGAAGGCGTTGTAACAGGTTTTGTGGTGGTGGTAACTGTTGTCGATACTTCAGCTGAAGTAGTAACTAAAGTAAAGAGTCCTTTCAATATATATAAAAAAAACATCTGTGATGAAAACATTGTGGATGGAGCTGTCAATGGTCCGTTTGCATGATGGCGCCATTTTACTGCCAACACCAGAATTCTTCTCGAATTTTCTTTCTTATTCAAATTTGTATTTTCTCGTGTGAATATTAAGAAAATATACCTTTTTAGCTTCGTTTGTCCGCATTTCAGACCATGTGATGTCACTCTTGGGAGTTGATTCTTTCATTGAAAAGAAATTTTTCAAGGGAATGTCATCTGATCTCAAATGGGAAATTTGCACACGAAGCTAAAAAGGTCCATTGTTTTTAATAAATGGAGCATAAGAAGGTGTGCAAGGGGTTTTGGTAGTGGTGGGGAGCATAAGACAAAAAAAACCAAAACGGTTTACATTTAAAAAAATGCATGTACCTTCAGTTGGTTCAGGTGTTTCCCTTTCTGTCACATTAAACACCAACTTCAGGGAAGTTGAGCAAGAAGGTGTGCCTTGATCACGTGCTATCACAACCACTTGATACGAGATTGGTCGAACGAGAAGCATGAGACGAATGGACCCTGTTAACCACTCAATTGAAAACGTTCCATTTCCATTTTCCAAGTTATATCTGACGTCACCGTTGACTCCATTATCTTTATCGACAGCACTGACATTCGCAATAACTGCCCCAATCTTTGTGTTAACAGAGATATTGTATGACGTCTGGAGGAATGGGTCAAATATTGGACAATTGTCGTTAACATCGATTATTCGTATATATAATTCGCATGAGTCAAACTTCATTGGTTTTCCATTGTCGGAAGCACGGACACCAAGAATAGCAAAATCCGTCTTCAATTCGTCATACCTCAATGACTTAGATGTGAAGATTTTACCCGACTCTCCTTCAACTGTGAATAGACCACCAGCATCATTGGATAAGAAATACATGACATCGCCATTTCTCCCTTGGTCTAAATCACTAGCATTAACTTGACCCACGAAGCTTCCCAAAGTAGCATTTTCATACACCGATAGATTGTAAACAGGAGAAGAAAACACTGGTGGGTAAAAGTTTGGTGTGGCTGGCTTGTCGCATTTGATCCCATCGTAGCCTGGATAACAATCACATTTATTGGGTGCCAAGCAAACGCCTTGTTTTGAACAGTCGCTTAAAGCACTGCAGTCTGGGGTACTGCAAGCAGCTCCATACCATGAAGCTTCACAATTGCACAGATCGTAACCAGTGCATTCTCCGTGGCCTGGAAAACAGGAAAATAGAAAATAAAATTAAAACTTATAGATGGAAATTTAAGTATTTAGCTAGAATGTCAGGAGATTCGCTAGATTTCTAGATACAACTATTTGAAAATATCATTGTCGGTCGGAGATCTGAAGTCTGAGACCGAAATCAAATATCGGTTATAGGCTGTGAACATTCTTGTGTGATTTGACTTAGTAGTTTGAAACAAGTTAATATCTAAATGTACCAACTTTGAGTGATGACCTGTGCTGCTGTTATCTGGCTAAGTGTATTTTGTCCCAGCAATTCTACTCGATCTCATATTTCAGATTTAAGACCTACGACCGACAACGTTTTTTGAATAACTGGGTGTATACGATCCAAAGCACTTTTTGCAAAGAAAGCATACATTGTATTTGGTGTTTCTTTCGAAAAACAAAATGGCCGCACCCATGAATATCAATGAGTAAAATATCGGTTGAATTTTATTTTAATTCATTTACCTGAACAAAAATTCAAAGCTTCGCATGAAGCATTAGAGCAGTCAGATCCACTAAAACCAATATCACATTCACAGAATCCTGCTTCTTTGCAAATGCCATGATTGCTGCAGTTGTTGAGTTCAGTGCAGGTTGGCTGGCCACAATCTACCCCTTGAAATCCATCGTAACACCTAAAACACAAGTTTCGCGATATTTAGTAAAACACAGGAAACATGGCTCTTCGGAGTGTGAGTACTTAGAAGAGTTTCAAAGTATGACCATGGAAGCAGGGCTGCAAATAAATTTTTTCTATGAGGCTGTCATATGTCAGATCAGTGACAAGTTTTGACCTGACATGCAGTCTGGTTGGACAAAAGCTTCTTTCAAATACTGCAACCGGAAAAATGCTACGCGCCTGCGGCAATTCTGTCAGGTAAAACCGCTGAAACCCATAGCGGCCGCTGCGTGTCGCACTGTTGCTGTCCTTTTCACCGATTGGATTCACTTTTCACTCGTATTTTAAAGGGCTCGAAATGGCGGCCTGCCAATGGCCAAATGCTAGGCCAAATTTGGGGTTTGGTAGTCAAAAATAATTATGCCAAATGGATTATAAAATTGCAGGCAAAATTTACTGGACATCATCTTTCACTGTTTCTTTATCTATAATGATTGTTCCTATTCACAAATGAATCTCCTCCAATCAAAGTCTTGTCTATATCATGTGGCATGCCATAAAAAATAAATAGCAGATCAACATATATTTCACCTGCCCAAAATTAAAAAACAGTGGCAGGCCAATTTTTTCCCTATATCGAGCTCGGCAGCGTATTCAACCCTGTATATGACCCTGGCAGCGTATACATAAAAGGTATACTATTTCATTTGCATGATAATATAGTGGATAAATGTCTAATAAGAAAGTTGCTTTTAATTATTGATTTAAGATTCTACTTACCTACAGGACGAGTTTGCCCCATCTCCACTCACACAGTCCCCATGATTACTACAATTAGCCAACATATTGCAATCAGCAGAATCAAGGCACCCATTACCACTGTAACCAGGGTAACACTGACATTTGTTAGGGGCAACGCATGTTCCATTTCCAGAGCATTGATGTACATCCGGGCAATCAGGAATTGCACAAGTTATCCCAGTCCATCCCGCATTACATTCGCACTGGTAGACGTTAACACATCGGCCATGATCTGGTTTAAAACATTTAAGAGTGGCTGTCCGTAACGGTCGAGAATGGCGGGACAGCGAAGGAATTTTCAAATTTCTCATATTTTGTCAGAAG